ACCTGGCAGTCCTTTGTTAACATTGTGACTTAGGAGGCTATTTCAAAATGTTAAAAATGCTGAGTGCTTCAGCAGAAGAGATAATTATTTTCAGTATTTTGCAAAGCCAGAATGGACCAACTAACCCCCAAAAACGTCATGAAGTGCTTGAAGGTCAGTGAACCTGTCAATAAAAGTTGCTCACTGAATGCTGAACTTTCACTGAGACGCATTTGTCAGATGCCATAAAAAGACCAAGACCTGTAACTGGGGCATCTGCAGAAAGCTATCTCAGGTTACAGCCGTACCTACTGCAGTGACATCTGGGGTCAGGCTTATTTTCTCACATTTGTGTTATTTAAGTGTGAGCTTCATCATGAAGAATCAATCTTTTTTTAAGATCATAGAAGCATTGCCTATTTGTCAAACGTTGCAGGAGCCCTGCTGATCAATTGTAATAAAACAATCAACTCCCAATGTGCCTTCACTGCATGGCAATGCCAGAAATCCACAAAGGCAGGCTGCATGGACCACTAGGCAGCAAACCGAATGCGAGAGTATCATTTTCCTGAATACCTTCTTAAAATCAAAATGTAAAGTACATGCTTCAGCACCTGCGATGGCTCATACAACAAACCACTGAACCACAAAGGGGAGAAGTCTGCCTTGCCACAGGCTTCCTCTGCTGCACCCTTTCTATTTTGATGGACAGTTTTCTCCTTCCCTGACAGCCATGGTGTGGCTCCATGCTGCAGCACAGGTAGGGCAGGGGCAGAAGACAGAAGGAAGGACCCAAGGGGTCCTCCTTCATTTTGAAGAAAGCAGACATTCATTTTTCAGAAGGCAGATGCTGATTTGTTGAGATCAACTCTTTTCGCAAAAACACACTGGCTTTGACTGAACTTTTCACACATGCCATCTCCCAGGGTCAAGTCATAACTTCCAGTCAAAGGCAGAGATCAATTTGAGGCGAGCTGAAACCAGAGGTTTCCGTCTCCCAGGAGGGCTCTCTAAGCACTGAACCAATCTCTTTCCCCAATGCAAACAAAAGCAAAATAGCTGCAAAAGGATGGATCATGAGACACTTGCCCAGGAAGAATGAGTATTGCAGGGGATGGCATTTGATGGACAAGAGCCCCACGTGCTCATTTGCTCTTGATTTATGCATAGCAGGGAGTCAGATTTCCACTCCTTGAATTTATTTGTTTGTTGTTTTTTTTTTTTTTTATTCTTGAATATCAACTTTTAACTTCATTATATTCCCCACCAAACTGCGAAAGATCTTTGATTATCCAACTGGACTGGAGGGTTGGGAGGGTGGCTCAAAATGCCCTGGAAGGCTTGGTTTGGTTACAGGTCAGGAGGCTGCAAACTACAACAAGCACTTTTGCTTATGACTCCACTTTCTGTATTACAAAACGTAGCTACAGCCTCACTACAGAAACACCAGGCATCCTGGAACGCAAGGAGTAATGCAATACCTTGAGACGATGCAGTAATCCTCAGTCTAGGGATCAGTTTCAATCCAAGTTGTCATAGGTTTAAGAGGACAGAAGAAAATTAGTATTTGTACATTAGCCTGGCCGTACGTCATCACCGCAGGCTGTGATTTACAACACACTGAGTAGAAGATTTTATTTAAAGGTAACACCAAGTGAAAGGGTTGAGCACTTAGAATTGTGATTCACAAGGCTGGTCAGCCTACCCATTTATCTGCATGACCTTTTTGACCATGGAGACAAGAGACACTGCTCAGGAAAAGTGTTTGGTTTAGACCATATTGATCATACAATTTAGATGTTCACCACATAGACGTTATAGTACATGAATTATTTATATAAAACACTGACTTGCTGTTATTGCAATATTTAATTTTAATATCAATCTCAGTTAAGTGCATGTATCTATTGAATATCTACACTTCCCTAAAAATATTGATTTCTATGTCAATCATAATGCTTTGTGTTAGCTATTCTGTTTTTAATATTTAATAGACTAAAAGTGACAGCCCTGCTTAGCAAAACAGTCCATATTAACAAGAAGTGTCAGAAATTCTCTACAGTCCTTGTCTTGCACCCAGATCTTTTAGCACAGAAGCTGTACCTGTAAAAACGTGGATTGCGATGCAATATCAGAAATGTAATTCCATATCATACTTCTTACATAAGCAATAAACCCATTTGATGTAGATTAATTTTCAAAAGCGAACATCATAAAAACAGGCTGTTCTAACTTGCCACAGTTTTTGAAGGAGAAGTCAGAATAACAGTCTTAAAAAGAAATCAAATTGCAATAGCACAAGTATTTTTGCCTATGGTCTGCTGTTGATACAACCAAATCCTTGTAACTTGCATTTTTAAAAGCACAAACAATGCATTCACTTGAGTGTTTCAAAGAAGCAAAGTATTAGTCTTCCAGATGTATTTTTTCTAATATTCAGGTGCTTTGTCGACTGACTTACTGACACTTACTGCTTCATACATAAAAAAAACTGAGCAGCACGTTTCTGCAAAACTATGAGTATTATTCATATCCACTAAATAATTTTAGGAAAAAGACATAAGATTCTACTGAATAATTCAATAAAAATCATACCAAGTACCCAATCTTCTGATTCTATTACATACAAACATAGGAATCATTAAATTAGATTTATACCAAAATACTGGCAAAAGCAGAAATAACCCCTAAAACACTTCTACCTCTTTTTCACCAAAAGTAAAGCCATTTTTTCCCTATGTTCAGGGCTTCCTAAGATTATCCAACAGAGGGCTCCCAGTAGCTACTCAAAAGCTTAATTGAGAGCCAAATATGCAAACTCTATTGACATACAAATGAGCATACTCTCATTTTAATAACCTGTTCTGTATGCTCACACACGCAACACCTACACCCACTTCAGAAATTTGTGAAAGCATACAGCAAAACCACCCAGGTAGCGCCTTGTCATTGTATGCTGCTAAGGTACACTAGCTCCAGATTTTTTCCAAAACACTCTTTTTAACTGTGCAAAATAAGCGTACTTTTAAATTGTTTTTACACAAGGGAAATTACATTTTCTTATAATTTCTTTACTCTCACTTGAGAAAAATACTAAGAAAATCGTGTGGAGCAAAGTTTGACTGCTACGTGGGTACCAGCCAGCCTGAGAGACTGAAGCCCGGGCGGGTGCTCGTGCACATGGAGCACTTATTTGCTAAAGCCAATCTACACCTGACAAACTTCATCTCATCAGGACAAAGATGCAACTGGACCGTTTCAGCAAGTGGATATTTCAAACTTGGTTAAATCTTGTTCTTTGATGAGATGGTTACGAAGTGGGGCTGCGGCACAGTAGTTTTGAAATGCCTAACTGATCAATGTACTTGGCAGATCATGCTTTTCTGACATTCAGGTACCTGAGACTAATAAAACCCAAACGTTTTTTAAAAGATTTTGCCATATAACAGGAAATCTGGGTGTGTGAAGAGTCTTGGTATGTGCTTTTAGGGTCTAGGAAGGGCTTCAGCCATCCACTAAACTGTCCTCAGTGACTGTAAGTAAAAGGGTCCTATATATACCACTCACCCTGAGGACTCCCTGCAATACTATTCCCCTCATCATTTAAAGGCCTTAATTTTAAATACAGGACATCATAATGCATTGTGGCATATCTTCTCTTGGTAACATATGCTGAGATTTCCTGTAGGCTACACACTTTTTTTTTGAAAATTTAATTGAATGCCACAGCCAATATAGTATCATATTGGTGTGTCCTGCCTGATCAAAAAAACCTCATGGGATATTATCTACTCAAACACAACGTGATCCTAAGCCAAAGCTATTATCCTGCAATAAAGTAACATTAGTGTTTGATGGGTTTAGTAAGCTATTCACAGATGAAGATAATACATAAACTATCGTACAAGATGCTTTTAAAAAAGTTTTTACAGTATTAGAAAGAAATTACCGATCTGTAATACAGTAAGTTCATTCTGCAGCACCTGCAGATGTGCCCAGAACATTACCCAACTAGGCGTATTTTTTTACTTCTGAGATTCAATTTGTTTTCCATAATAGCTTTTGAGCTTATCTGTGATAATACTAATTCGCTTTCCTCTACATCTTTACATTTAACTGTGAAAATACATACCTGCACCCTTTTCGCATGTCCTACAAAAGTGATCTAATACATATCCTCCACTGAATGTCAGTGATTAACTCCCCCAAATCTAGTTCTGCACTTTTACAACTGCAAGCTTTTTGACAAAAGTCTTAGGAGGGGAAGTACAAAAATATATTCTGCTGTGTTACACACCACACAATTAGATTTGTCTTTCAATTTACAGTAATGTATTTGGTGCTTTCATTCACCTTGCTTTTACCTGCAGTGATACTGCAAAGCACGTGGACAGGTAACGCAAAAAGAGAAAAAGTTACAGTATTTGTAACTGTATTATGGCAATGTCAAACTCTAAGCAAAATCTTTTTAGAAATTGTTGGCACAATGCAGAACCAGAAGCACCCTGCCCTATCCTGTACTGTGATGAGTTTGATCTCACACATTCAAAAGTCTACTTTCAGGCCGTGGTGGCTGGGTGCACACAAGCATTTGGAAGATGCAATCCATACTGCAATCTGACGCAATTCTTTAAAAGCAGTCAACACTCTCTCGACCCTCCACCTTACCATCGGAGATGAGGTTTGGATCTGAGGTTCAAGAGCAAACTCAGATGCCAATTTTTGCAACTGCCCTTGTACTTAGAAGACAGCCATTTCTTAAACTAAATTCTAAGTCGAATTTAGCACAGAAACGTTTGAAAACAATCTCTCTTTTCTCTTTCAACTAGAGATACAGGTATACAGGACCTTTGGAAGAAACCAGACTAGTACGGCATGCAAAAATAAATGCTATTTGAAAGATTTAGACTTTCAGCATTATACAGCCATCATTTTACTTATTAAGTCCAAGAGTACATACAATGCATGTATGGAAACAGCAGTAGCATCACAAAAGTATCAAACTCTAACCCTTTACTTACCACAAGTCTCCGTCTTCAATAGTCCTATCATTTGGGGCTCCAGCATGGCCATAGTGCAAAACAGATGAGTTCTCCCCACTGGTATGCAAAAAGAAAATTCAGCATAATTAATGGAAGAAGAAACATTAACATAAATAACACGAGAAGGAACATTGTAAACATGTTGACATTGCAAACATCAGTGTATTCATATATTAAGCACGAAATTTTGCAGTCTGTGAGAACTGCCACAGGTCCTGCCCCAGCATAGGCTGTAAGAGCAACCCTGCAGCTCACTCAGCAGAAATGGGTACGGAATGGGCATTTTGCTACTCTGGCTACAAGATATGACCTTTCTGCAGAGGGAACTCCGTACAGTTCATATAAATATTTCCCATGTCTGTGATAGCGTTAAGGAAGCAATTATGCAAGAGTAATTTTTCAACTTGTATCTATTTATTACCTTCTGGATTTATTTTAATTACTAAGTGCTGTTTTCCTATTTGAGGTTAAACATTCTGAGGCATAAAAACCTAATTTCCACTGGAGTAAAATCCGACATGTTTGAAATGCTCTGGGAGTTACTGAGACTGGAAAAATCCAGCTGTCCAAGTAAACAGCTCCCGTTCACCTCTGGCATGGCTACGCGTGATCTCTGCTGGAGCGGACACACCGCACGCTGCTCGGGGAACATTTGCAGTATACAACGTCAGCAGCAAGAACAGGCACGAAAACTGTTGCCATATTCTTACCGCTTATTAAAAATCACATTATAAAGAAAAGGTTTTATTCCTGGAAACCTTTCAGACTAAACTGCTGATTCACAGGAATAAAACATCTCCAGAGTGAAGGACGGACCCTTGTTTTGTGCTTCTGAAGCTCCACGATCCATTCGGTGACCTATATCTGGCCTTGGCATCCTCTCTTGTCTACTTATATTCCCTTGGGCTTACCAAACATCAGTTAAAAGACTGCTAAAGATCTCGAGCTCTACTTATTTTTCTTTTACTATTCTCCTCAAATAGATGCCCTCTCCCTTTTTTGCTTCAAAAGCTAGAATAATTATATCATATCCAAAAATACACGTGTTAGGACAGAGTTACTGCGGCATGTCTCTGACCCCTGCAGCTGACTTGCCAGTCTGTATCTCACCTTTCATCAAAATCGTACAGGTCATCCTGCTCAAATTTGATTCTTTCAAGCTGTGCTGGTGAAACAGCTTCATGTCTTAGGTGAAAGGAATCTGAGGCTCAATTTCCATGGATTTTTTTTGTATCTAGAGTAAATGTGCCATCTGACATACTTCTCATATTAGTCTTCTGATAAGTGCAATTACAAAACCAGTAAACATGCACCACATCCAAAGATATTAGTTTCAAGATACATTAAGTACTCATGATCAATTAGATATTTAGTAGATAATTGGTCATTCAGATACAGTAACTCCATAAGCAATGACTATAGAGCAGAAAGTAGATGCCATCTTAAGTTTCTGAAGGCTCTCAATCTAAAGGACTGGATTGTGTTAATATTTTGAAAGTTTTTATTGTTAAGTGTTTTTTAGCATATAAGAATCACTATGTAATAAGGCAGTGAAAGACTGTTTCAGAATCATAGGAATGATTTTCTGATACTAAGTGTATTTCTTAAAATTATACGTACTCCAAACCAAAAAATTAAAGTTGTTAAATCAAGACTTTAAAAACCCCACAGAACTAAGGCTGCAACAAATTTGTTTTGTGATGCTGGTCCAACGGCTTAGGCACAGTTTTACAAGCAGATACTAACTGGCTGCTTTTTACTTCCAGGACACCTGACTTGGGAACTTACGCTGTTGTGCAGTCAACTAAAAATGATTCCATAAAGCTTGCACGCAAGATGAAGACAGACATGAGCTTCCTTCTGAGATGTCTTGTCTCCTGGGCACTGATGGAATATTCCTTCTGATCATAATTTCAGTTTTCCATGCCAGGACACTTTCAAACTTAGTTTGCTCTGTCTGATAAAAAGATCTATAACAGAGCAACGGACTGCAATCAAAAGAAAAGGGCCTCTGTGCCAGGTGATATGTATGATGGGAACCATAAGTTTCCAGCCTCAGCTGTCTCCTTTCACATGCAGGTGACAGCTCCTACCTCTGCATTGGACCCTCAGCATGACAAGAGGAGGCACCATCACTTCCTGCCTGAAGAACTGTTTCCCAGACGGAGGGCTACGATTTTGGGGGGATCGGCACTTGGAAGCAACGGGAATGACCTTGATGCTATGTATGACACTGTGAACCCACATGCTTAGTGTTTAATAAAAAACACAAAAATAATTTAAAAAAAACCCATCACATGGCATGCACACACACACTCACACATACATACACACTCCGCGGCAGTTTGTCAGGATTTTAGCTGCAGATATAATTCCTTATCTCTCTAAAAATGGGGATAAAGCAGGAGAAGCAAATAGCGCATGCATATATTTATGATCAACTTTTAAAAAATTACCATGAAGCTTAAGGGCATGACTCTATGCTAATGTATTTGCAGATAGCTTGTTTACTTATCATCATATGCTGGCACCCTTGGTGCCATATACCATACCAGCTGCATAAACAAGTCATATATTCAAATATGAGCACTGCACAAATGCTTTCAACAATAGACACTGCAAACACAAAGATCGGGGGGTTCTTTTGCACATTTTAATGTAAAGGTTTTAGTTTACAAAATATTTCTGAAAGGTTTGGCACCAACTGTTACGGAAGATGCATGAAAAATCTGTTTTTCAGCACACAATCTTTCTTGGCATTTGAGACTCCTTAACTGTCACACGAATGGGATCATACCATGGAGAGCAGAGTCGGTGCTGAAGACCAGATACACATCCCATATGCATTTCAGGTTTTTGGTCTGTTTGAAGCGATTGGGGTGAGGAGGTCTGCTCAGTTGAGACTGGCCCTGGGCAGGTCCCCTGGGCTGAACACCCATTAGCAACTAAGGCACAGCAGATCTGCTCCTGAAAGCTCTCCCAGTTGTTTTTCATCCCAAAGAAATCCAGCATGTGCACTCCAGGACTGGTCCCTGGCTCTGAGCAAAGCCCTGCTGCTGGGGACTAGTGGGAGCTCTTGCTTCAGAAATGTGCTACCGACCCAAATTAAAACACCAATGTGGAAATACCCCCAGCCCGTTCCTGCCAAGAGGTGCAAGTCCAACCTTCCTCACAGGAAGCATCTTTACCATCGTTCTGAAATGAAGGCGGGAAAGATGCTTTAGGAGCAACGCTACAGAAGTGATGTGTACCCACAAGGTGAATGCTATAGCTAGCCAGGAATTGTTCATAATGATTCAGTTAGACTTTTGAGGTGGCTTCAAAACAATTCAAACAAAACCCCCAACCACTGGCAATGTAAATGAGCCTTCCTGTAGAAGCTATTTCTTTTCTTCCCAAGGAGTGACAGTTGAAAGGTCTGGCATTAGTGTGCCAAAGCCAGGGTTTAAAACGAAGTGCTGTGGGGATGCGCAGATCACTGGCAGCTCTGTTGACTTCCTGGAGGTCAGCACCTCTGAAAACCACCACACGTGGGGATGCTGATGCCGGCCTTCAGGCAGCCAACCTGAAAAACTCTCCAAGAGATTTGTGTGTACCTATTTTTATTCTTTTAAAATTTTGCCTCTAACTGGTGCCAAAGATGTGTTCGTTACAGAAAGAATTGTGTGAAGTGGTGCAAGAGCTGCAAATTACCACCACTGAGAATGCAAAGAGTAGGAAGAGATTCAGAATACTAGGAAAGGGAAAAAAGTACCCAAAATACATTTTAGATCACAAAACACCCTGAAAACAAATAAATAGAAGAAAGAGAAAGAGGAGGAATGTCAGCAGTATTTTAAGAACAGGATTAAGCTGAGCATCAAGCATTACAAGAAGTGCAGCTATTAGCTCTACATTAAGAACACCTCAAGAAAAATCAACAGACAGTTAACTAAGAAAACTATTTCCCTCACGATTTAAATAATAAAATCAATCCAGAAGGAAGCACTAACAGCCTTCTCTCCACTTTTTCATTTAAGAGATGAAATCTTAAAGTTGTATTGAAAAGAAAGAAAGAAAAACAGATTCAATAAGTAACCTAATCTTATCCAAAAAGCTTTACTTTTACGGTGATCCTCGGATAGACAAGGCATTTTACTGCACAATGTTACTCTTAATCACTGATGTCATATGTTGAGAGCTGTCATTTGCCTGGACACACCTGTCAAGAAGATTTGAACCTAAGTCTAAGATGCTGCAGCATCAAGTAGCAGCTGACCATGGCTTCTGTGGTGGTAGCAGAGATACTGATGCCTCCACCTGCACCCAGCTCCAGTTGGAAACTCTGTGTCTGGTAGCCAGTGAATGCCATCCATTGTAGGGTCATCAGGATGCACTGTGCATGTACCTCAACCTTTGTTCTCCCCTTTGTAAAAATGGTTACTTGATACACTAAGATACTGCAATGAATAATGCATTAGCATGTGAACGCTCCTCGGAAGTTCCTCGGAAGTGAAGGCTTTGTAGGTTAGCGCTAAATATATCTAAGTACGTTTATCAAACACCACCATTCTCATTTAATGGCACTTATGAGACATCTGTTTGCGCTTCGAATCACTCACAAGTTGACAGTGTTTGAAAGCATTGCTAACTACAGGACTAACCCCACTATGTGATGACCTGTAATACTAATATATGTATGTTATTATTCTCAACTGATTGGAGAGTGAAGACATGCAAGTGAATACAACATAAAGCATATTTGGTCACACCAAATAGTCATTTACCATCTCCTGAAGAGGCTAACAATGGACAGGAACAGCAACAAATGCATGCGCTAATGTGTGCCAAGTGATTTATTTCTGTACTGAAATACAGTATTGATTACTCTTGATTTCCAGCTTCATGAACATCTTTTCTAAAATCTGAGTATCAAACTTGTTTTTTTTATTTAAAAGCATAATTCTCTTCTATGGAAATTATTATCAAGCCTGTAATCTAAAAAGGAAAGATCCTGTCAAAATATCACAGTTTTAAGTGTCAGGAAAACAACAAAACTTAACATGAATAGAATAAAACATAACTGTTCAAAAATCCTAATTGTAAAAGCTATTTTTAGTTGTAAATGTAGTTAAGTGTGATATTTACAATGCATGACATTTTCATGGTTATAAAAATGCCTATTATTTTTGCCATTGTTATGTTAATTGAATTCATCAAATAGATCTACTAACATTCATTTTCTTAGGTCCTAGCTTAATTATTCATTCTTACTTCATCATTCAGTCAGACTATAACAATTTATGGACAAAGGCCTTTGTATTCTATCTTACATTTTGTGGGGTGTTTTTTTGTTTGTTTGTTTTGGTTTTGTTTTTTTTTCAATCAAGTGTTTCTGCACTTTCAATTGTAGCAGTACAATACAATGCCAGCTCCCAACTACAACACTGAGTCACGATACTGTTAGGATCTTCCGTTTCAAGGGCAGTCCTTCTCCCTGTATTAAATCCCCCAAGAGTTCAGAGGCAGCAGCTCAAACACCACCCCCATGCCCTGCTAAGCCCCTCCAGCGTGGTGGGACAGGACACCCAGGAAGCTCCTGTCATCACCCACTTCTAAACTACTGTCGGGGCTCTCCTCCTCCTGGGTTCCCTCAGTCACGTAACACAAGTCCTGGGATTTTCAGTCCTGTGGAGAGTTTAGTCTGTCCTCACGGGGTCACGAGGACCCACTACACAAGCATACACTAGACGTTTCTATAAGTTTAGCAAAGCCACTGATGTTCTCTAACACCCAAACCAGCTCCTGCAGCACGGGTTCAGATTTACTGTAAGTGAATGTGAAGTCTGCATGGCTGTGAAAACCATACAGAGAAACAACTTGATTTTACCATCACAGCCTGTAACAATATCATAGAGATGGAGTCTCATTTCAATGGGATGTTAATTCTCAAGTTATATGATGGTACTTAAACCAGGAAGATTTTCAGACAATTTAAATGCACAATTTGCCATAAAACTGCTCATGCTCCTACTGCAATTCAGCACGTAAATTAGAAAATTGCATTTACAAATAAGCAATTGAGTAAACAGAAGAAAGAAGCGAAGATGCTAATTGTCCTTATTACCTCCAAAGCAATATAACATTACTGTCATTAACGTAAAAATTATTTTTGTAAGTGTATGTGACTTCAATGTAGGGCAAATGTTTGTGAGTAGCAGCGAATCTACAAGTGGAACGTATTTACCAACATATATGCCTCATCTAACTGTCATGTATCTCTGATTAGATTAATTCCACTGATTAAATAAGATTAATCTCTGCACAAAGCACGCAGCTGTCCTTCAACCAGTATCCTACATTATTCTCTTGAAATTCTGCAAATTAAAAATGTGCGTTTCTACAATCGCAGGGAGAACTTTTATAATACTTTCCCAAATATAGTACTTTCAATACTACCTGTCTAGCAAGAAAAAGAGAGCAAAAAATTTCCAAATTCCAAAAAAGATTAGTTTAATCGCATCCTAACCTTTGAGGCAAAGAATTTTGAGAATGATATGAAATACTTAAGGTGTATTTCAAAGAGAGTATTTTTGAGCAACAGAGAATAGCTCTAAAGCCCTTTTCCATAACACTATTTAATAAAAAAGCCAACTGCAGCACAGATGTGAGTATAAACATGATCTTGGCAGTAGCAGCAGTCATTGGGGAATCTCTTGAGTGTAGCAGAATCTGTAACCGAGTTATTTCTTCAAGACACAGTGCTAGCCACCTTTCCCTGCTTTTCCAGAGGAAACCGTTCAAAACTCACTCTGTGGCACTTGCAAACACATCATGTGCCTAAAAGAACAATTTTATAAATATCCAGGGGGAAACTGACCATAAAGACTGCAACAGTTCAGTATAAACCATCGACTTACCTGCCACAGATGCAAGTGTAGGAAGTGTGGCGCATGCCACCTCGAGCATAGCAGTAGTGCTGGAACAGGCTGCAAAGAAAGAAAGGTGGTAATTAATAATATATTCAAAACCACAAGGCAGGGAGGAAAGCAAGTCTTGCTTGAGTACAGCTGTGTTGGTGCAAATCCCCAGCTCCCTGACAAGCCTCTCTGCCCATTTCTGCTCCGCTGAGCACTCAAACTCACCACATCCACAGCTCAGCAGTCCTGCCGAGCATCACGCGATTTCCACAGAGCCCATTAAGCAACTCCACAGCAGAGAAGAGGGGCTCAAGTGCTGCTCGGTAACTTCAGACGGCAAATTGCTTTCCTTAACAACTCAACATAGAAAGGGAAATAATTGTTGGCAAAAGGTAGCTCATCTGACCGTAGAACAAACGGGACAGCAACAGTTCAACACTGAAGCTGGCCAAACTCTCTGAAGTGGGGTTGAGAAAATCACTTCTGGCTGCATTTCAGGTACACAATCACATCTGTGATCCCTATTTTCAACCCTGCTGCCTTCAGTCTATGGTGTGTACGCTCAGCAAAACTGAAGTCCAACCAACCCTTCACAGGGAAGGAGCTCGCCAGACAGGGCAAAGCTCTTCAAAATAATTTCAACAGAAGCTGTGTCATTTTTACCACCTCACTGATACCCTCTGCTGAAAGCTGATCTAAATATCCCTATGTTATGTGTGAAGCCTGAATCACATCTGATCATGCTGTACACCCTCCCCTCTGGAAAAGCCAGCCGAACTCTCCCATTATGTCAAGCCAGGCACTTTCTGCAAGTGCCATGGTCTGTGCTGGAATGGATGGCCTCATGTATTCTTGTCTGTAGCACAACAGACACAGAGAAGACATAAGACTATTAAATTTCAGATTGTGGCACCTAAATACCTCTATGATCTTCCCCTGCCCAAATGTGGAAAACTAACACAGACTCAAACCCAATAGCAAGATGATAATGTGATAACATTAGGCTGAGTCCTCAACAACCTATGAAGAACACTACAACACAACAGTGTTTGCTTTTGTGTGTGCGAGGGGAGGAGAAGGGGAAGGGGGAGCAGCCCCATGCTCTCCAACAGTGCTCCTCTTGCAATGCCACCCTGTTGGAGGAGCTGTTGGCCTTAAAAGCATTAAAACATTTTCATCTTCACTGTCAAAGTCCCCTTCACATGAGGGCAGATGTGCCCAAAGCACAATTAATATAGGATTAGATGCTTTGAGAGCTAAGCACATATCATGGATCCTTTTATTCTTTTTGAAATATGCTCTAATTACAATCCAATTCCCTTTAATACTGAACGAATTCCAAAACCTCATTTGTTGTAATACTGAAATCATTTCATTAACACAGTGATAATGGTGCTATTCAAAGAATAGAGATGTTGTGATTTTGTCCTTCTGCAGCAGCAATCCACAGAACACAATTCAAATTCTTTGAAGGATATAGAACACATTACATGCTTGTAAATCCAAACCAGATTTCAGAATTACACAAAATGACAGTATTTAAAGAGAAACAAAGCAAAACATACAAATTAAAATCACACAAGGAAAAAGAAAAGCCTACATTTAGGGACTCAGTAGGGAGACATGGTTTACGAAATCTCTTTTCTGCTCAAAGTGCTGTGGTTTTTACAAGGTAGAAATACTAATTTTGTATTGCCCCAGAAACCAGTAATGGCAAAGAGTAGGCCAAATGACAGAGAAACTGAGGAGAAACTCTGACATGGTGAGAGCACAGCAGAGATATCACTAAACTGTGCTAATAAAATTTATCACCTAAACTGTCATTTGCTTTGATGCAGACACTTTTTCACCCAATGGACATTTCATATGGAAACAAAGTTACAGATCTGCTCTTCCCTAGCATGCCTGCAGGCAAGGTTTACTCTGTAAGACACGACACTATGCACAAATATTGTGCATAATAACACCTTATACCATTATATATGTAGAGTTACATTTTAGGAAGCAATTTTTAGTGTATTTTATAGACCCTTCACCTTAAATGACTGAATAAACTATCTCCTCTAGACAGCAACTTTCAGTAACCTTCTAAGGAGCTTTAAAAATGAAATAATGAAGGTTGTAAACATCTTTCCATCATCAGTGATGGAGGGACAGCAGGGTTTATTTTTCCATATGACAACTCATCACATATTCATGGTTGCGATTTATATGAAACTCTGCAGCCTAGTAACAGTATTCACCTTTTGCAATACTCCCTGATTAGCAGTAAAAAGTAGTAAATACATTAAAACATGCTTTGTATAATCCAGCTGTTGCCTGAACTTTGTTTCTGTTTTCTAAAAAAAGGAACCTGATTGTTTCATCAAATATCATGGACTTTCTTTTAAGAGCAGGTAAGAAGTTGTTGCTTATGTGACTGAGATAAAGATAGCACAGCTTTGCTGGGTAAGTAGTTTTCTGCTAGTAAAACTACTCATATAACTTTTTTGAATTTACTTTTTTGGGTATGACTCATTAGAAACATGTTCATGCAGCTGGAAAAAAAAAATCCAACATTTATATTGGAGACAGCTAACATCTTTGAATAACGTCTTATCTATGTGAAGGATTGCATATCCCTTTGATTAGGTTGGCTGGCTTTTCAAAGCTGAAAAATGTATATAGAGAATTAGAGAAGCTGCCTGTACTTTTTAGTTAAAATCCCAATTCCACTGAAGCTAATGCAGATTCTGCCACTACACCTCTTCACACCAGGATTTCACTGTTTACACACTGCAAGAATCTTTATCCAGAAGCGCAATACAAAAGTATAAAGTCTAAAGTAGTTAGATGGAATATAATTTAATCCAGCACTCCACACACATTGCAAATATCGCATCTTGACCTTTTCTGGTCTTTTTGATTGGAGGATATGTGTGTTTAGGCAGTTTTATGTTGGTGCTTGATGCTTTGCAGTGAGCTTTTAACGCAACCAACACAGATACAAAAGTTAAGCACCTCTTTCTCTTTTCCTTCTTTCTTGGGCTTCAAAGCTTCCTGTCATGTTTTATGCAATATTTCCCTGGAGGGTGTATGTATTACTTATCCACCTTGATGGTATATACAGATTAGCTATTGGTGTATTTGCATGTCAGATGTTACCTTTAAAACACATATGGCTTTGTTTGAGCTGGCATGAGTTTTGCATTGCTTTGAAAACAACATTTTTTTTTTTTTAAATGTAGAGATATATCCTGGGTTTGTTCCTTTTTCTTTTTTGCCAAGAACATCAGCATCTTTAAACGATTGTCAATATCTGGAGATTTAAGGTAGTTTTAAAAACCTCACTGTTTTTTCCATTAACTTAAAAAAGAGCAAGTATTAGCTGCCATCAACTCAAGTAAATCTGACATGAGTGCACTTGCCCCCACCCTTGCAAATTTGCTGAGGCACAAGATAGTGCTATCCCCACTGCCCTGCCAAGTCTTGACCACCTTATTGACTCTACTGACTTCAGAGAGAAGACGACTCTACTTTCAGAAAGAATGGGTTCTTCATCATCAGAAATAACAGAAAAGGTATATGCTCGCTATTTTGAGATTTCCTGGAGTATTGTATACACTCAAACAAAACTCCAGAATGCCTAAAAAGCCTCAACTTAAAAAAGACTAAAAAGCCATTAAAGTAAAATCTATGGATAGTCCGTCTGACGAACTATTAGAACCACTCTGATAATCATGCTTGTGTCTTAGAATCATCTTTGGTCCAGTTTCTACTGCTATCTAATGCACACTGACAATTACAATCAGATCTGTGCTATGAATGTAAATTAATCAAATAAAGTAGTTTAATGTCAAGAGTTTTCCTAACTTAAGTGGATTTACAAAATAAAGGCACTTAGGTAGGAGGGATAGAAACTATCTGTAATGACTTTCCTCATGCTTTTTGCTTATTTTCAAGATCTTGCTCATCACTGGAACACAACATATCCATCTAGACTCAGCAGAATGTGATTTCTATTACTCAAAAGAAGCAAACAAGTAATCTCTAATTTGAATTCTTGTCATCAGTTTTTCTTGAGTTAAACCAAATATTTTTAAGAAAACTACATTTTGTATTTCTCAGCTATTCACTCCTGAAACCAAGACATTTCTAGATCAAAAAGGTTCAATTTCTAAATAAAAATCCAATTGAGTATTTTGGCCTACATCTTACAAAACAGGTAAAAACTGTAATTACAGAAAACGCAGTAAGTATGGAGAAAAGAAAGAGAGGGAGCAAAAAGTGGCAATAATATCTGACAAAAAATCCTATTAAATTAAACTTAAGCCAAGTTTCTATAACACTGCCCAATACATTTCTCAGGGGCATCTTCTGATGGTCCCTCTACCACAGTCCCACATCCTTAGTAACTACAGCGAAGCACTCCAGAATGAGATGTGCACATCACTTTGGGATGAACACTTACTCAATCCAAGGTTCCCAATGAAGGAGGACCAAAACCATTGAATAACCCTGGTCATTATTCCCAGATACTGGAGTCACATCAAAAGCACCTGCTGCACACTGCTAGTTCAGGAACCAAGTTTTTAGATTGTGTATCAGAGAGATCTGCTATCAGAAACACGACTTGCCCTGAGAAGCATACAACGTATGGAAGAGTCAAGGACATTCATGGGTCAATACCTCATTAAGGTTTTTATATTAAAAATATATATAAAAAAATTTTCACACTGAATCACTCACTGGTTTGTGGATGTTTCAGATCCACAATAATTTCTTCAGTGCACCTTTGAGAAAGTTGTCTCCTAATAAAAAGAAGCCGTTACACACTTCAAAAACAGTATTCTTTGAACACAGCCCTTGAGACTTGCTTGAAATGCAAGCAGGTGGTTTTGAACTATAAATTGGAAACCACAGCAGCTTAAGGGAGTTCTGTATAGAACTTGGAGGATTATCTGCATTTTTTTTTTAATGAGTTGGAAGACGTAGGTGAATATCTATTAGTTATCTGTGCACCAAATTACTTTTGAATTACAACTAGAACATACCCTTACGCTTTTGTACAGTGTAAATATCAAGCGTAG